GGGGGGCAGCGGTAGGGCCCTGGCGGGGCAGGGAAACGAGGCCTAGGCCCGATGCGGGGCGGGAGGACGGCATTGTTTTTTTTCTTCGGAGGAAACCGGTGGGATGGCGGTAAGGCAGCTCCGGAGCAGTTTAAAGAGGGCAGCTGTTTATAGGAACTCTTCCCTAAAACAATAAAGGACCCTGGGCCTCTGACCCGTAGCGAATAAAGCCCGTGGGGAATTTTAGTTCTTGAAACCCCCTATTCATAAAGAGCCTGTAAATTGGGGGTGGTGGAGGTATTCAGGCAGATGTTGGAGACTCCTGGGAGGGTATGCCACAACTTTAGCTTGTACTTGCCTTTTCTCGCTGCTCTGTTACTCCACCCATTATCGGAGAATGGGATGAAAAGAGATTACTTGACCCTTATGGTACTGTCAGGTATCAAGCAGAGCTTAATATTTGTGGGCTGTACTGGATGACAGCCTACCCTGTGTAAACATCCACTAGGCAAAAGGTGTATACTCCAAAATAATTCAGATGAAGAGCTGCTAACCAAGGCTGCTTTCTGTGTTGTATTCAGTACAGCACAAAATGGTTTTGCTATGAAAGTACAGGTGCAGCAGTTGCTACATACCTGTACTATATCGCTTTCATAGTCTCTGAGAATTTATTGAATCTAGTCTCTCTGAAGAAATTCTATTTTTGTAAATATTTTGCTGTCTTCACAAATGATATCTTGTTGATTAAAATTAAGTTTTTTTGTAGTTTGGGTAAACTATATAAATACGCTTTTGATAGAGACAAGTTATCTTGAAACCACCATGAAATGCCTCTTATTTCAGTATCATCTAGGATTTTTACAGTTATTTGTTAAACAGGTTTGCGTTGTAAGGGGAAGATCATGAATATATTACATCTGTATTTCAAAAATTTGCTCTCTTACGCAGCTAGAAGTATGAACATATACTCTAGTGTGTACTCTCTATTAAAGATAGTGGCATACAGATTACTGTCTGATTTGATTAAGAATCAGGATCTTAAATGCATTATTTTGAATAGATCCCATTGATTAGTGATGGACCTCATTCTTAATAGAAAATAAGAATCAAACATCCAGAATCACTGGCTATGAAATTTTTAAGCAATCAAGTATTGAGTGACATTCTGGATAACTTGTTAAATAGATCTATGGATTGTTTTGGACAGCTGCAAGGCAAACTATTTTTGAATTGTTTTGAATTGAGTTGTTTGAAAAATAGTTTGTGATACAGCATGGCGATTGTGTGTCCAAGAATAATACTAATCTAGAATATGCCTAAATATATACCTTAAATGTCAGGTATTACATTAAAAATCTTGATAATAAAAGCATCCATTGAAAATTCTAGGTATATTACCGCAACTTAGAAATCTGTTCTTGTCATTTCTTACAGGCTCTTAAGTACACATCAAAGAGTCACCCCAGTGGTGGTGATCACCGGCATGACAAGATGCGAGACGCCACAGACCCTTCACCGCCAAATAAAATGTTGCGGCGATCCGATAGTCCTGAAAACAAATACAGTGACAGTACTGGACACAATAAAGCTAAAACCATTCATACTCACAGAGTTAGAGAAAGGGATGGTGGTGAGTTTCCTTTGACTTTTATTTAAACATTAAGACAATAGTTGAATCAATTGCCTCACCATTATTTCAGCTTGGCACAACATTACATTATACACACGCACGCACGCACAACATAAAAATGAAATAGTTTTTTTCATGGTACTTTTATTTTCTTCATCTTTATCATAAGCAGATAAGTGGCTTTTTATATATTAGAAATGTATGGTCTGGCAAGCTGAGGTGCTCTCTTTGAAACCTCCATCTTATTTTGTGTACATATGTTTAATGTTTTTGAGTTATTACTTTTATAGAATTCATTTGACAATTAGCTAAATTCGGTAGCAAGATATATTAGCACATTACAGTTATTACTAGCCAATACATAAAATAGCACTGGCTATCTGAAAAGCATAGTTTTTAACAAATGGAAGAGAATTCAGAAAGCATGCTCAACATTATTTTGGGAGACACTTAAAAGTGTACAATCTTATATTTTCTACTATAAAAGCAGGCTAGAGAATTGCTAATTGCTGTATGTGTGCAGGTATGTTGCCTGAGAGATTACATAGGAAAGTATGGGCTTTTATCCTTATTGGTTCAGGCCTGCTGCTTTAACTATTTAGAAGTAAACAAGAAGTTTAAGTATAGAGCCCTTTTAATCATTGGGCCTGGTTTAATGTATAGATATATAGCAGCATTCTATGCTGCATGCAGTAATCTGTGGATAGGGTTTTTTGTTCTTATTAGTAATCCCTTGGGTCATAAGCACTGGTAAAATCAGAAAATTTTCTTGGATTCTTCAGTAGACCTTTTCTTTTAATTGCTATTTCTTAAACCTTACTTGCTGCTTCATTAAAGCATTTATGCTGTTTTATGCCTAAAGAAGCAATTTTCAACTCAAGTTGCTTTTGGTTTGCATCTCATAAAATGCAGCTCATCACAGTTAATCAGAAAATTAGGAATATTGTACATATACTTCATTTTATAATATAATTCTGATTGACAATCTAAGATTTTGCTAATTTACTCTTAGAAAAAAATGGGTTAAAGCTGAAATATTTTCAGTTCTGCCTCAGTTCCTATTTAAGATTATTGTAAAAAATTGTATATACTGGGAAAATTACTTGTGCCATATAAGATCAGCAATTGTTCTGAGTTAGGTAATAAGGGAGGAAGGCTGAGCTTGGGATTCTGTAAAGTAGTGACTTTACAGTAAAGTGTAAAGTGGTTGATCACTTAAACTAAGGTGAGCCTACTCAAGGTAATACAGTTTTCCTTGTTTGTGTAAATTACTGCTTTTCCCCCAGAGTAGGGAGAATTGTGGATATGAATAGAGAGCAGGAAAATAAAAGTGAAAAAAAAAAAAAAAGGAAAGGAGCAAATAGTTTTGTTTTTTTTAATGAGTCTTATGTTGTAGGTTAGAATTTAAAATAGGTTCTAGGATTTAGAAACTTGAAGATGCTTTCAGTGAAATTAGATATTTTGCTACTGTAGTCTTCCTTGGAAATATTAATTTTTATTTATGTTTTATTTATGAAAATCAAAGAATGTATTGCCATTTGTACTTTAAGTGGAGGCCACCTGTCTTACATTTATTTATTTATTTGTCAAATTTATATAGCTACCCATCTCATAAAACAAGTGACTCTGGGTGGCATACAACAAAGCTAAAAAACAGTTAATAAATACCCAAAACTATTATTACTACTACTACTATTATTATTAAAACATTAAAAGCTATAAAAAACAAGGCTAAAAAGAAGAAATATTGAGCGAAGGAATGTTAATAATAATGGAGCCACCTCACTGGTTCACCAGTCCTCTGGGGTCCCGAGGCCTGATGGCACAACAAGGTCTTAAGAGACCTTTGGAAAGTCAAAAGTGATGGAGCCAGTTTCACCTCAGGGGGAGGATATTCCACAATGTGGGTGCCAGAGCAGAAAACACCTGCTGCCTAGGGCCTGCCAAATGTAGCTCCTTAGACGACAGAACTTGTAGCATGCCCTCTCTGCTGGATCTGGGGCGATGTGCAGATGTAATTGGGAGAGGCAGTCCCTCAGATAACCTGGTCCCATGCCAAGTAGGGCTTTAAAGGTCAGAACCAGCACCTTGAATTGGACCCGGAAAGAGACTGGCAATCAATGCAGCTTGCGGAACAGGTGTAATGTGTATTCTACTAGAAACACACATAAGTGCTCATACCACTGCATTTTGCGCCAGCCGAAGTTTGCGGATACTCTTCAAGGATATCTTACATGAGAACATTTTGGGAAATCTCTATTATAGAAACTCAACTGATGCTTGCTTCCATTCAGTGTTATCTACCACAGTGATATTGGAAAGGAATGAAATGGTAGTTTATGGCTTCCAGGAAACCAGATCTTAACATGGTGTACTTTGATTTAAGTAATGTGAATTGTGTGGCACTGTTAACATTTGTTGTTGTTGTTGTTACAACTGCCTAATACATCTTCCTCCCCAGAAAAAATTTGGAAAGGCTTACTCGAGAAATAGTGTAGTGTAGCTGATAGAATATAAGAACTTGATACACTTGGTGTTAAAATCCCTCACTCAGCCCAGAAGGAATTTATCTCATCTATACCCAAACATTCAGACCTGTAGAGAAGTTAAGAGTGAAGTTTCATTGTCACATGCTATATAAGTGGGCTTTTATATATTGGATAAACTAAACCCGACTTTTTAGTGTTATAAATTAAAACAATCTTACATATTGGCTTGTTGGCATAGTTATTTGTGCTTTACAAATACAGAAATATTTCCATGAAGCCCTTGTTTATATACATAAATTTTTAGTTGTAATTTAATTGTAGGGGTTCTTTTACAATGGGGTTTGATGAGTAGATTCTACATGTATTCAGGTAAGGGATATTTCAGATTATTTGTACAGTAAATAATTTGCAAAGATTGTAATGTTAGTCTGTGATTTTTTTAAACATACTCCTCAGGGATGAAATACAGCAATTGTTTGTGATTATATGAGTTGGGTAAAAACAATCTGGGAAGTAAGTGTGCCCACATTTTTCTGAAGCCCCTGAAAATGCTGTGTGACTTAAAAACACAAGAACTTACTAAATGGTTCTCTATAAAGAGGGAATAAACAAAATGTGTTGGTATTGTCTTTAGAGCATGGGTACCATCAAATGCATGGTGAAGTGCTACAAGGGGAAAAAATCTTAAATAAAGATTTTTGTATGACTTTGCATAACCTAATTACTTTAATAAAAGTGTTCCTTCCAGTGTCCTAAATAATTTTTTCACTGGTAGACATCAATTTTAATATTGTATTAAATATAATTGTCTAAATAAGATAAATCAGGACATTTTTAATTGACATGTCCTTTAGCTGGGTAGCAGAACCTTGTAATGATAATTGTAAGTATAGTTATGAATTAAAGTTGTAACCCTGTACCCAACAATAAGCAGTAATAGGATTTACCTGTCTAATTGAATATTGAAGGAACTTTTAATTATTTAGGACTGAAAGTAGTTTTTTTTTTAATAATTAGGGGTTTTCATATTTGAAATTCAGTTTTTAAGCTAATACTCTAACTTCATTTTGTATACAATATTTATAATGCAGCCAGCTTTATGATAATAACTTTAAAACTTTGCCCACAATCTTGTGAAGGAGACTAAAATAAACGGAGTCAGACTATCTTCCTCTGATCAGTACCTGGATTTCTTTTATTTTTACTGATTCTCCATAAATCTTATGTGTGAGCAGATGTACTTACATACAGGTGTAGTTTAATTTCATTGCTAGGAGTCTTTTAATTTCCTCAAAAAGATAGTTGGGCTGCCTTTACATCTAGCACCCAGGTTGCAGGTAGTAGTTAAATGATATTACCAGAGTTAATGCTGCTATTCATGTTTTGTTTATGCAAGTAATACTGTGTGCATATCATGTTATACTTCTAGTTTTTGAATCAACAACAGTGTTTCTAAGTTCAGAAGGAAACCACATAATCTATTTACCGATAAGTGAAAACTTTTGCTAATGTTTGGAATGAGCCTTCCTAAAAAATGAACTTTCTAACTTGTCAATTTAGCTAACCAAAAGAATATTTTTGTTTTCCTTTACCACTTACTTTGACAATAGGAAGGGGCATATTTGAATTTTTCTTCAATTTTTTCTTGTTAAAATTGCATTTTCTCAGTTAACCTTTTGGGTGCTGCATAGTGGGCATGGCTGAAGCAAGTAATGGATTGAATCAGAGATAACAGAGCATGGGAATCCTCTTATTTTTTCTTTTTTGGAATACTCTTCAGTCTTTCCCAGTCAGCACTCTACAGGATAGGGACAGGTATCTGTAATAATCTATTTTATGCAGGGGTTGAATTTAGTCCAAATGATACATGTAGTTTGTTTGTTTATTTGTTTATTTACCACATTTATACCTTACCCCCTTTATATAACCACCTATAGGTAGATGTTGCTACTCTGATTTGAAGTTAAACAAGTTACAGAACTTAAATATATTCAACATTATAACACTTTCCTTAGTCGTTAATATAGAGTATGTATATGTTAAAATAGAAGTAAATGCTTAGTGACTTTTAAAAATAAATTACAACCTCTAGAATGCCTTTCCTTAAACTGGGGTCCTCCAGATATGCTGGAATTCAATACTATGTCAGTATGCCCTTACTTACTGGAAATAATGGAAGTTTTAATTCATATCTTCCCAGTACTAAGTTTGGGAGGGCTATTCTAAAAGTTCAGGGCTGACTTGATAAAAGTAGATTATGTAAGGTTTTAACATAAGAGATATTACATTGGAAGAGGCAATTATTTAACTTTGCTTGATTCAAGTCATAGATGATTTTAAAGGTGAAATACCACAATGGTGCAAATGTGTTTTTTAACCTCTAAAAAACTACTTATAAAGCATAGAGGTAATGGGCTCACTCTGAATTAGTAAAAGGAGTTAGGACAAGGAGTCAGGGAGTTTTGACATCTGTTGTGAATTATTCCCATAGACATTTAGGAAGCAGTAGTA